AGCCCGCCAATGCGTAGCACGGTCGTGAGCATGATGTGAAGCAAGATGTGAAAGGCAAATGCAGCATGCAGCAATGACGACCCGCAACGAGGTCTCGGCCGTTGGACGCGGCAGGGAATGAGTCAGAATGAGAATGCGGGCGGGAAGGGGGATAGGGGATAAGGGATGAGGAGGAGCATGATATCGATCAGAAGGGCACGGCGAGACATGGTGCCGACGATCATGACAACGACGGAGATGATGAGGATGGGGATGAGGATGGGCCGGGTGATGCTGATGATGATGGTGTTTCTAATGTTACTGATGATTCATTATACCGCTGATTCACTGTTGATGTTGACGCTGATGCTGACGCAGATTATGGTAAATTATGGACCTGATGATGCTCCTGATGCTCATGATGACGACGATGATGACGATGCCGATGATGCTGATGATGATGATGATGATGCTGATGATAATAATAATGGTGATGATGCGGATGATGATGCTGATGCTGCTGATGATGATGATTATGCTGATGCTGATGATGTACCATCAGGCGGTGGAACAGATGCGACGGCTGACCATGGTTCGAAATGCAATGATGAGGGGGCGGTGAGACGGAGGCGCGGTCGGGTGGGAGCAGGTAGCGGGACGGACGAGGGGGTGACGGGAAGGGGGGTGGGAGATGTGCATGTTGCATGCTGCGTGGCCAGGTGGAGAGTGATACAGAGAACGAGAATGCAGAGCGGGAGGATGTCCGCACGGTGGCTAGTTTCAGTCGAACGTACAGGCGTGAAGCGGCGTGGTCATCAGCAATATACGACCTCTATGTCCTATGTCCAAGCGTGCTGGACAAGTGTACATCCATCTCTGGACGCTGTGGTTTCCAGACTGGAATGCGCATCGCATTCGGTTTCCGAACTTCGTTTTCGGAACCACATCGGTTTCCGAACTTCGTTTTCAGAACCTCATCGGTTTCCGAACTTGCATTTCTGAACCGCATCAATTTCCGAATCGTCAAATCTGAACCTCCTTATTTTCAGTTTTAGGTCCTTATTTTGAAAATAAGGTACTATTTTTGAAAATAAGGTGGTTCGGAAATGCAGGTTCGGAAATTGAGGAGGTTCGGAAATGCAGGTTCGGAAATTGAGGAGGTTCGGAAATGCAGGTTCGGAAAACGATGCGGTTCGGAAATCCAGGTTCGGAAATGACGTTTTCAGATTTGTATCGCGTTCATGAATCAAGCTTTGGGTCGTCATGCTGATAATCACAGGCCCCTGCACCGCGCGCCCTAAGTCCCCCCCCCCCCCCTTCCCCTCGGGGCGGCGCGCCGGCGTGCCCTAGGTGCCCCCCCCCCCCTCCCCACCCCCCAGGGCCCCGCGCCCGCGTGCTCGCGGCGACCCCCTTCCCCCCTGCCTGGTGCGGCGCGCCCGTGTGCCCTAAGTTATCCCTGGCGCATTGTGCCCATGGGGCAGGGGCGCGCGCCCGCGTGTCCGAAGTGCCCACACACATACACACACCACACACCACGCTCGCAGTTCTTCTGGGGAGGCATCGGCCGCCCGCGCGCCGTACGTCCCCCCTCGGTCGAGTCCCCTGCGGCTTTGCGTCACCATCCATGCAGCACATTACCACCATTACCATTACCGGGCTCTCGGGCAGACACAAGTTCGTTCAAGCCCCACGATAACTCAACTCGGGCACATCCGCGGTGTGGTATCTCACCTCGCAGGGGTGCCCCCCCCCCCCCCTCTACCGACTGAGCTCCAGCAAACGGGCCTCTGAGGGAACACCAATGCCGCATATGCCAATGCCCCCCCCCCAAGAGGGGCCAACGGGGCGCCAAGGTGAACGGGGGGATGACACGAGGGATGTGTACTTGTATTTCATCTCGGGTGAACGAAACTTCGCCACGGGGGGTTATTCTTCTATTGCCCTACAAGGTTACCCTCCGCGCGAATTCCCAGGGCGTTCCTGCGTTATCCAGTAGGGGGCTCTCGGGGCGTTCTTGGGACTGTCCTCGCGCCCTCCTGCAGACCGCCCACAAAGGCCTTGCGAGGGCCTGGCAGAACCCCCCAGCGGGCCCCACTGGGACACCAAATCCTGGGTGTCAATCAGGTGTTGGTGGCGCAGAACTATTTGAGGGCCCCCTCTCAAGCCACAGGAAAGCACCAGGAAGACTCCGGCGGGGCGCTGCCATTTGAGACGTTCAGGCGGACAGGTAGCACATTTCTGAATCTGTGCGACAGCATTGAGGCACAAAGCGGTTTGCTTCGCAGGCTCTCCCGTCGGCGTGTTGTGCCAGATTTCGCCCCCACTTCCAGTGCTTTCCGTAGCGATGCCCGCGAGCGTGAGCAAGACGGAGTCGGCCGTGTCTAGTCGTCGCCATCGGGGCCGCGTCGGTTCGACCAGTGGCGAGCATGACAGAGGTCCTTGCACCATCGATGGTACTGTCTTCTTGAAGGTTCGCCGTTGCGGCGGGTGCAACTTGCGCAACACAGACTTCAATCCATGTCCCCATGGTGCCTGGAGCGAGGACAAGTTCCTGCCCTGGAAGGGCTCCAGCACCAACCCGCAAGGTCCCATGGATAAGATCTGCCTCACGGCGTACATCCATGGCGGCTTCCACCGGGAGTGCGGCGATTGGGACGCGTTCTTGAAGGCCTGCAGGGACTCCGAGCAGCTCATGTCAGAGTGGCAGGCCGCGTACGACGAGACCAAACGGATCGTCGAGTCTTCGGACGGGCAACGCATTGCAAAGAAGCTCCAGGCCACCTTGGACGGCAGGTTGAACGAGGTGCGTCAGGAAGCAGTCGAGGTATTCAAGAAGTCCCAGAGGAGCATCAAGACCTCTTTCAGGCTCGTGTGCCGGGCGGCCTACGAGAAAAAACACCCAGGGCGCATTGCGCGCAAAGGCCTCACCACGAAGACGATGAAGATCGAAGGAAAGTCTCGCGAAGTGGTGCTGATCAGAAAATTACCGAAAGATGAATGGGACATGGACCTCGAGGACATTCAGGGCGTCTCCCACCGCGAAGTGATCGAGGATGGCGAGAATGAATTACGTGCAGGGCAGGTCCAGAAGGCTTTCTCTGGGATGGCCGACAAGACTCGATTGAACAAGGATGAGATGGAGCACGTCGCTGAGGGCGACGACGTCACTAGCCAGGAGGAGAACGAAGCAAATACGCAAAGTGGAGATGATGACGACGACTCGGCGGCCGACTCGGAGGACGACGACAAATGCCTGGACTTTCACGCCTTGACGCAATGCCTCTTGGACGACGTACCCTCTTCTACGCGGCCAGCTGCCGGCAGTGGTGCACCCCCGAAGGCCGCGACGAAGACCTCTGCCAGCGCCAGCAAGAAGGCAGCGAAGGGGGGTGTGCCTCACTCGCAGGCCAAGCCGTTGCAGCGCCCCTCGCCTCCGACAGCAGCGCAATCGACCCAGCCTAAGGGCAAGTCAACTCCGAGCCCAGCCGCCTCCGCTGAAGCACCGAGTGTGGACGGTGCTGAGGGCGAGGACGAGATGTCCATTGTCCGGAAGAAGTTCCGTGGGTTGTCTGCGCTGGATATATTAAATCCCCACGGATTTGAGGCGTTGCAGTCCCAGGTGAATGAATTGAAACAGACCATGATTTCTCCGCCTTTCCAGACCGATCTCATGGGCAAGTGGGCGAAGGAGTTTACCAAGGCAGTCTTGGAGAACAAGGCCAAGATTGCGAAGGTGCAGAAAGGGGTCGTCAGCTTGGACATCAAGGCGAAGAAGTGGGTCGGGGCTCCAGCGGAGGTGTACGATGTGCTGAGCAAAGTTCGGTGTGAGACGAAGGCTCCACTTAAATTGAATCGCAGAGGAGAAGGAGGAGGAGGAGGAGGAAGAGGAGGAGGAGGAACACTAATTAGTAGTGAGCAAGAGGTTGCGAAGGAAGATGAGGGGGAGGAGGAACGGGACCAACTGCCAACCAACCAAGAGGAAGGATGGTGGAGGGATCGGGAGGGGGGAGGTAGAGATAAGCTAGGCATAGGCGGCATGGGCAACATAGGATCATAGGCTCATAGGCATATGCGGCATAGGGCATAGGCTAGGCATGCGGCATAGGTTTGCTTCGAAAGGGGTCTCGCGATTGGTTCCACCACTAATCTACTATCTAATGGCCTTCCGCACATCCCGCCACCTCGCATATGCCGCATAGGTTGTGGGCCAGCGGCCTCTTGAGGGTTTGTCGAGATCTCGTGGTGGGCTTCTCGAGGGCCTCTTGGAGGCAGCTTTGAAGTCTAGTGCGGTCGTTTCAGTGCATGTGTTAAGCCTCTTTGGGGCCTCTTGGGGCCCCTTGGGGACCTATTCGTGGCCTCTGGGGGCCTCCTGGTGACCTCTTGGGGCCTCCTGGGGACGTTCTCGAGGCGGCAAGCTCACATGTTCGGTTCGCTGTCTTCCTCTTGGGCCCCTTCTCGGGCCGTCTCGGGATCCTCTTGGACTCTCGGAAGCCTCTGGGGCAGTCTCAGGGCGATTGCGGGGACATCTTGGCCGTCTTGGAGCGTCGGGGAAACGAGCGGGCGACGACCCCAACATCCGTCAAACACCTGTGACAAACAGCCATAATCATTGCCTCTTGGGTCCCTCCTGGGGGGCCCTTGGAAGCTTCTTGGGTCATCTTGGGGCCATCGTGGGCGTCTTGGGGCGATCTTTGGGCGTCCCGGGGCCCTAGTGGGCCGTTCTGAAAGCCCACTTTGGCCCGAACAAATCACGCGACAAGATGCGGCGAGCCCCTGACTAGCCGCGGGAAGCCCAAGAAGATGTTGGCAATTTGGGTTCTGTGCCCCTTAGAAACTCCCCGAGGGAGAGGACTGGGGTCTAGGGGATTAGGCAGAGGACCTGAGGGCCATGCGGCATGGCATGGCCCTCAGGTCCTCTGCCCCATGGGCACGGAGTAGCATGGCCCATCCCATGCCTACTCCGCGCCCAGCAGCACGGTGGTGCATAATGTATATGAACATATAGTTGCCCCCCGCCCCAGGCTCTATACGACGCCTTCCACGCCTTTGGAGGCGACAGGAAGGTTGGTACCGATTCGGCGAAGATGGAGAACGCCCGGGCAGCTATGCTAGAGGTTGACATCCCTGTTCCACTGGCCTTCGACCTCACATACCATCGGGCGAGGGCTCTCGACTTGGCCACGTTCCAGCATGTCGACACTCTGATTGACTTCCTTTCCCCAGCTCCAAAAGGATTTCTCACTTCGGACATGTTCGAGCTGCCTGCTGGCCCGCCCGTTGGCGGGGAAGAGCAGAGTGCGATTTCGCCCGATTCCTTCGCCAACTCCTTGGAGGATGTCGCCGCGGAGTGCCTGCAGGTGTTTGGGAAGACTTGCGTGGACAAGAACGACACTCTCGTCGATAAGGCGGTGCAGAGTCTCGGCGAGTTCGCATGGGGGGTGTCCTGCAGCGATGTGCAGTTGTCGGCCGAAGCTAAGCACGATTTCATGATGTTGGCCACGGCGCTCGGCTGCGCCCCAGCCCCCGGTGATGACGATGATGCTGTTCAGCGTCTTTCGCCCTCTGATGCGATCGCTGGCATCAGGGATAAGCTCAACGAGTCTGGCAGCGCCCTGCTTCCCTTCTTGCGCCAGCCCTACTGCGAGTCGATCTTGGCGGCGCGCGAGGCGGATATCAAGAATGCTGACGGCTCGCAGGATCGTTGGCCATTCTAATTTCTTCATCCACTTCCTCTGCCCCGCGCTCGTCCGTCTGGTCCCAATCCTGCTCACTTTGCCCATTCTCCTCCCCCTTCTCATCCTCTTGCACCACTCCTCCTCCTCCTGCTGGTTCACCGTCTTCCTTCTCCTTGGATTCCCTCCAACTCATCGTTCCTCTGTTTCCTTTCCCCCCTCCTGCAGCTCGGCCATTTGCCTCCTCTGGCTTCTCAGAGATTCGCTCGATGCCTGGGTGTCCCTGGCGAGCTGTTCGGATCCCTACTCTTGGGGTCAGTCGATCGATCCCCTCCACCTGCGTCCACCGCCCCACCCTCATCCTGCCCCTGCCTCTACTCTCCATACTCCTCCTACCCCAACTTCTCCTGTTTCCCTTTTCCCTTCATAACTTCTAGCATTGCGCCCCATAGGCAGTGGTTCAGGCGTGCGAGAAGCACCTCGCGCTGATGGACGGCGTGATCTACAACGAGAAGGGCGCGTTTTACGTCGAGGTGCGCAAGTTGTTGGCTGCCGCGCATGACGACGAGACAGGACAGAAGTTCAAGAAAAAGATCAAGCGTGTCTTCGCCGCAGTGGCGCTCAGGATGGAGAAGGGCTCGAAAAAGCTCACGGAGGTGTTGTGCCAGGCGGCCACCAAGCTCGTGAGCCTAGCGGAGGCCGAGGTCGATATGTTGAGCGTGACAATGTTTCTGAAACAGAGCGCCACCGAGGTCTCTGACATCGAGCGCAGATGCAACTTCGACCTGGAGAGCTTGGCGAAGGCCGCGCCCAATGGCGACGTGAAGTCTCTGGGCGACGCCATGAAGGGCTACCTGCCTCAGCCGGCCACGACGTTCGAAGGAGACGAACTAGCGCTGCTGAAGTTCAATAGCCAGAAGTTCTCGGACGCCGCGACCGCCATCGACGCCATGGTTGCCGTTTGCCAGGCCTTCAAGGATATGAACATTCCAGATCAGTCTAAAAGTTCGGCGGCAGTTGCAGCAACCCTGAATACGGTTGGCGAGTTGGTTGGTTCGATCGAGGGCACGGCTTTCAAGTACGACATCATGCCGCTCATTCAGAGCTTCTCGGAGAAATCCAACCTGACCCAGGCGGCCAAGGCCATCTACACCACTAACCTGCAGAAGTTCAAAGCGGAGGCCGCCAGGGTGGCCATGGTCATGCTTCAAATCATCGGAGGCGGCGAAGTGGATCAGGAGCTGGCCGACAGCGTCGAGAAGGATGTGGAGACTTGGTCGAAAGGTGCCTTCAAGCTCATGCAGGAGGCGGCCTGGTCGGACACACCCAAGCTGGACCGCGAGATGATCGAGTGGGCTACCGAGGTCATTCCTTTGAACCTACCGTCGAAGAGGGGCTTCGCTGACACAGGCGCCGTTCCTGAAGACGTGGCCCGGCGCATCGGGCTCTGCGCAAAGGAGGGCAGCAATGTCAAGGCCAAGTGGGTTCTCGGTGGGAATGACTCCGACATTGATGGCTTGGCGGAGCGTTTCGTGAAAGCGTTAGCTGGATTATCGGAGTCGGTCGGAAACACGAAGGATGCAGAATTGAAGGAGTCGCTCGGCAAGCTGGAGAACGCGAACCGTTTGCTCACCAAGATGCTGGCACCTGATGAGAAGCCGATGACGGACGTGGAGTTCATGAGCTTGTTTTCCCAGCAAAAGATGGCGAAGCTTCGAGATTTAAGGAATGACCTGAAGACCGCAACCAACGCCCACGAGCTGACGTGCAAGAAATTCTCCGTGGAGGTTCCGAAGATCGTTGAGACCGTCAACAGCTCGTTGAAGTCTGCCCGGTGCCAGACGGTCAAGTACGGGATCCTCGCTCTGATCAGCCACAAGGACATCCGCAAGCAGAACAAGGGCGGCAAGGACATCAAGGCAAACTTGCGCACCATCTGGAACGCCCATCGGCAGGACAAGGATCTGGTCGCCTACCTCGGCAACACCATCAAGAAGCAGGTCGAGGAGCTGTTGGCGACCTCCACTGACGATGCCGACGAGGACGTTGGCGTCGAGTGCAAGCCGCCAGCCGCCAAGCCTGCAAGCCGCAAGCGTGGCGGCGGTGGTGCCGCAGCGGCTTCGGCGAGGCCATCTGGCGGCAAGAAGGTCAAGGTCTCCGCCTGAGCTTCAGTGATAGCAGTGCGGAAGTGAACTAGACTGTGATGTGGAGGAGGAGTGGCAGGAGGATGACGAGGACAAGGAGAGGATTGAGGTGGAGTAGGAGGAGAAGGATCAGAGGAGGAGGCGGAGGAGGAGGAGGAAGAGTTAGTGGAGGAGGAGGGGCAGGGGCCCGGATAGACTTAAGCGTAGGCTCGAGAAGGGAAGATGAGACGAGGTGCAGGATAGCGGGGAGAAGGAGCAAGAGGAGGTGGAGGAGGAGGAGGCGGAAAAGGAGAAAGAGGAGGAGGATAAGGAGGAGGATGAGGTACAAGTAAGTAGTTATAAGGAGGAGGAGGAGGAGGAGGAGGTTGAGGAGGAGGAGGAGGAGGAGGGTTAGGAGCAAGGTGCATCAGGTGCATGAACAGGAGCAGAAGGATGGTGCGGAAAAGGGGGGAACAGGAGAAAAAGACGTGGATGAGGATGAGGAGGGCGGTGCAGACCGACGTCCTAAGAGGAGTAAGGGACCTAGATCGAGACAGACCGAGGAGGGGGGACAGGAGGGCGAGAAAGACGCGCAGGAGGAGCAGGAGGGCGAAGAGGAGGAGGTGGTGGAGGAGGAGGAGACGATAATAAGCTTCGCTTTGCCCTCCCAACACCGCCGCGCGACGGCGGGATTGGAGGGAGGGGGTCACTGTGCTGCGCTGCAGCGGGATGTTGCTGCCCTGGTGAGGCTTCCCGTAGTCTATCACGCCTCCACCTCGTCTCCGCTTCCCCTCGCCCTCCACCTCTGCCTCACCCTCGTCATAATTTTTACGGCTGTCTCTCCTCCTTCCCGGCCCATGCTGCATGCTGCATGTCGGCCTCGTTACCGTCCCACCGTCGTTTTCACGCGGTGGAGACGCTTAGTCGCGTGCCGCCGGAGCCCACTGCCGCCGGAGTCCGATGCGGCCCTCAGTGGCAGGGAGTGGGCTTCGGATGTGAACTTCAAGGGCCATCGGGGGTCCACCATGCTGTATGCTGCATGTTGGATGCTGCATGTGACATGTTGTCTGCTCCTCCTCCTGGCGCCCACGTCCTCCACCACGCCCTCCTTATGATCTTCCTCATCCCCCTCCTCCTCCCTGCCCCTCTTCGCCATGCTGCGCCTCAGCGGAGTGGCGAGATGTCGAGTTACATATGTTTCCAAACGGTGCTTGCACTGAGGCCGTTAACAGCTGCGTTGTTGGCCGCGCTCTTTTCATGGGGCCATGTGCCATATATAATATGCCGCATGGCAGAACCAATGTTTGGGATCCAAGCGTCTTCCCGAGGGCCCAGAATAATTAGACTCCAGAGGTTGCCAGGGCTCCAGTGGCAGAGTCGCGCGCGCGACAGATGCGCAGGATTGTCCTCGCGCCCGCGCGGCCGAGCGGGAGCTCGACTGCGGAATTTGCATGGTCCTCCTCCTCTTTCTCCTTTTTCTCTTCCTCGTCCTCCTCCTCTTTCTCTTCCTTTCCCCTCCCCCTCATCAACCTCTGTCTCCATCTCGTCCCCGATCATTTTCGGCCTCCTCCCACCTTCCCTAACCCCCCCGCCTTCGTCGCTCTGTTCTTCCGTCATCTCTCTCCACCTCCTGCTCCTGTCCGTCCACCTCCCCCTCCTTCCCCCTCCCAGCTTCTGTCCTCCTCTTTTGTCCTTACTTCCCCTTCCCCTTCCACCTCGTCCTCTTCCTTCTCGTGGTCCTCCCCATCTGCACCTGCACCCCCTCCTCTCCGGCTCTCCTCCTCTGGGCCCCTCCGGGGCCATCGGCCGGGGCGCCAGTGCGGCAGCCTTGGTCGACCAGTTCGCGGTTGGACGGGGTCGCCGTGACTGTTTAGAGCGAGAAAGAACATTAGAGGGGGAGAGTGCTTCTTCCTTTCCCTACTCTTCCTCAGGATGAGGAGGGGGATATGATATGAGACATCTCATATGTCATATCCCCTTCCTCATCCTCGGGATGGGAGGGATGAGCCATGTCGTCATATCATGATAGGAGTCAAACCGTATGGGAATATGATATGGCTCAGTCATGTTATCATATCTAATGGGGATGAGTCATATCATGAGTCATATCATACACATGGGCCATATCGGGGATATGATTCGGAGAATATGAGACATATCATATCCCCCATATGCTATGGCGACGGGTAGGGGATGAAGAGAAGGGAGGGGGGGACGGATACCGTATAGGCAGATGGGGTGGGGAGGGACAGGGGGAGGGCGAGGAGGACCAGAGGGAGAACGAGATGAAGGACGAGGAGGAGCAATAAGATGAGGAGCGAGTTGGGACGAGCAGAGAGGGGCCAGGATGATGTGGATGTTGCTATTGGGCAGGCGGTGACAACAAGGCCAAGGATATCTTGCACTTCGCTGTGGAGCACAACTTCTCGAAGATGACGATGCCCCAGCGCGAGATCCTCTCCGCGCGCCTCGTGGATTTCGTCATGTCGAGCTCCTGCAGCGGGAGCGGCATGGCCGAGGCCGCCTACGCCATCATGTGCGAGACGCTTGGAGCCCCCTCGAAGGTCGCTTTCTCGTGCGAGACCAGGGCTGACAAACGGAAGTTCATGGACGAAGTGGTGCTCGTCGTCGTCCTTTCCTCCTCCTCCTCCTCCTCCTCCTCCTCCTCCTCCCGTTCCTCCTCCTCCTCCTCCTCCTCCTCCTCCTCCTCCTCTTCTTTCTCGCCCTGCTATCCTACTCTCCCTGCTCCTCCTCCTTCCTGTCACTTGGGCCCTCCTTGCGGCCACTTAGAGCCATCTTGGGGTCCTCTTCGAGCTTTCTTGGGACTCGAACTGGGCTCTCCAGGGTGTAGGTGCACGCAAGACCATGCAGCATGCAGCATGCATATCCCTTGGGCCCTTCCTGGGACCCTCCTAGGGG